CAATAATTATCTTGGCAAAAGGCCCCTCTCCAAATGGAGAATGTAATTTATGGGTATATGTATTTTAAAGGAACTTCATTTTCTTTCTCTCTGCCTTTTTTTTTTCAATTCAAAAAAAAAAAAAAAAAAAAAAAAGGAGGAAGGATGGAAATGATTCTCAATAAAGTTTAATTTGAAATGGAAGGAGGGGCCTGGGGGAGTGTCTGTCACATTAATGGGACTCTGACCCTCCCCCTGCCCCATCCCCTCGGGCACATGCAGGGTCCGGGCACACGGGTGAAATCCTCCTCCTCTCTGGACTGACACGCACACGTGTCCCTCGGTTTGGAAGATGGACTGTGCACCTTTTTGCACACTCCTGCTCAGGCAGGGGCAGTAAGAGCTGCAAAAGCCCCGCAGGCTGAGCGGGGAGTGGACAGGGCAGTGGGTCCTGGCCTGGCAGCTGCCCCAGGCGTTGGGGCTGGGATGCAGCCGTGGCCTTTCTCGCATGTACCCAAGCGTCACTGCTCCCGGGAAGGACCCGCGAGAAGCAGAAACACTGCTGGGAAAGGACCGGTCTGGAAAGCACTGGCATATCCCAGAAGCCACGGCCCCCCCACAAATGCAGGAGCCCCCCGGCCGTGTGCATGACTGGCCTGTTGGCTGCCCTTAGCTCTAGACCCAGCGCCTGCGCTGACATCGCGGGAGTGGACGCGGCCCTTATTCCCGCGGGGATTCCCTCCGTGCGTGCACCAGGGCAAAGCGGGGCTTGGTCCGTCTGCACAGGGGACTTGGCTGTGGCCGTGGCACAGGTCCTGCCCCTGGCAATCGCCTCCTGGCAAAGCAGCATCTTACCTGTCATGCCCATGACAGCCCGTGCACGTGCCATGTTCCCTGCCAGCTCAGAGCAGGTGCCGGGAGCTCCTGGCCCCCGGCCACGCTCAGCTGTAACGAACCTGTCGGCATGGCCGACCCCCTCTCGCCGCTCGACTGCGGGATCCAGCTGGTTCACGTCATCCGTTTAGTTGGATCAAATACGCCGGCCTTGCAGTTCCCAGGCGACTGTATCTGGCGGTGCCGTGCTGGGACCAGGACACCTGGGTTCCCGCTCTGCCGGGGTGACCTTGTGCAGCGTGCGGCCCCTCTCCAGGCCTCTGTTTCCCCTCCCTTCTGCTCCCTCGATCTACTGGGGACGCTCTCCCTGGGGGTCTGTGCAGTTCCCAGTGACCCAGGGCTGGGATCGAAGGCACCTCCGTGATGCACACAGCTCTTGGAGCCAAGTGGCTTGGCAAATCCCCTCCGCCAGCCAGCCCTGGGCAGCTACCTGCCAACCTGCCTCCATCTGCCGGGAACAGCAGATCTGCACAGCGCATCCTCTCCATCCCTTCCTCTCAGTTTAACAACCCAGTTGTTCCACCCGCGTCCCCGTCTCCAACTGGGCGCACTGGGACAGCCTCAGAGGCTCTCGCTATTCCCAGGAATCGGTTTTTGTTTTACAGTACATGCAATGACAGTTATCCTAAATTGCAACGACTGGGAGGGGGGGTCACAATCCTGGTGCAGCTGATTTCTGCTCTCAGCACTCATCTCTGATGCCTTGCATCATGTTTGGGGGGGGGGGGGTTCAAAGGGGGGGGGAACCACATCAGGATAGCGGAGCGCCTCAACCGGGGAAGGGGCAAGCGGTCCCCAGCCGGTGCATCAGCACCTGGCAGCAAAGTCGGCTCCGGCAGCAACAGGCAACGCGGGTCCCCCCAACTGCTGGATGTTCCCGGTGCCAGCTCTTAACCTTGACCCAGAACGGGGAGCGCAAACCGGCGTCTCGATGCCTGCGAGGTTAATGAAATTCCAATTTGCGAGCTCTAGAAGGAGGTAATTTCTTTTCTTTCATGTCTGCTAAATACGGTTCCTCAAAGAGGCATAATTTCTAATGTTCCGCATGACATGAATTCTAACCGGTTTAGCAATGATCAGTCTCACCATTTACTCTTGTGTAATCTCTCCCTAACGACATTAAAAATAAAAAAAAAAAATATACAGGGGGAAAAAAAAAAAAAACAGAATAAAAAAAAAAAGCGCGAGAGAGTCGTAGCCGCAGTTATTTCACGAGTGACATTTTACGGGGAGAGGGAGGAGAGGGGGGGAAATGGTAATTTAATATAGATAAAAGGAACAAATTAAGTAGGCTGAATACAGATGCTTTAGAGAAGGAAGGGGAAATAACGAGAGAGAGAACCGTGCGGGCTGTTCCTGCGCTGACGGAAGAAGGGTCCCGGCTCCCCGTGACACCACTAAGTGCTTTAGGGTCACGGCTTTTTTTCCTGCCCTCCCCTCTCCCCCCACTCTTCTGATTGCAAAACTGGCCGTGTCCAAGTCCAAGCCCCCTCTGGATTTTTCCAGCAGCTCCAGTCAACCAGGCAGCTATTCCCTATCGATTTCTGACCCTGCTGTCCTACAAGCCAAAAATAATAATGGGCCCAATTCTCCCCCCTTCGGGCCTGATCCTCTCGCTGCCTGTCCGGCTCATTCAGAAGAGCATTAGACCTGGTGCAAAGGGCTGCAGAGCGTGGTCGCGTGGGGCTGCGGACGCAGCCTGGCACGCAGCTGCTCTGGTTGGGGGCGCAGGGTTTGCTGGCTGCCATCTCCCCAGCGAGGATGCCAGGCATTAGCTGCTGCTGCTGAAGACAGCAGGAGGCGTGCAGGGTGGTGTTTTAGGAGGCCCTGCATAAATACCCAGCCTGCTCTGTGATGAGGTTTTCGCAGCGCCTGCGAGTTTGGCAGGTGCTTGCAGCCAGAGGAAGGCACAGGGTGGTGGCCGCACATGGTGCCGCTGGTTCTTGTTTGACAATGGGCAAGGACCACCGCCCTGGTCCAGCAGGAACCATCCCTCGGGTGCCGGCGATCCTTAACACCGTGCTCGCGACCCTCTGCCCCGTGGGAGGGACAGGAGGTGAGAGCTTAGTGCCATCTCCAACCTGTTTGAGGATGGACCCGCGCAGCCCCTTTCTGCATCCTTCAGTGCCGGGTCCAGGGGCAGCCTCACCTTGCTTCTCCATCCCTTGAGGCCCTGCCTACATCTCCTGACTTGGGGGCTCAGGGGAGAGGGGCCGAGAGGCCCTTGGACATCCCAGTGAGAGACCGACAGCAGGGAACTGGTCTCACTGGGAATGCTCCAGTCAGACCCCACCGCCCACTGGAGCAGATGGATTATGTGCGGTCAAATCCAACGGACTTCAAGCAGCTCCGAGTCGTTGGAGCCCCTTCCCCTGCCCATGCGGCACCGGTGTGGAGGGCCGAACACCCAGCAGGTCCCCAGGACTCAAGGGGCAGGAGGGGGGATCTTCCCACCTGCTCCCACCCCGGGTTACTGGTGGGGCGTGCAGGGCTGCCCGCGAGCCGCTCTCTGCGGTGTCTGGGCTGGGCTTGTTACTTCTCCAGCACCCCCTTGGCTGATGAACTCGTGGCCCGGGCTTCAACTGCAGGCTCCGCTCGCGCCAGCTCCGGCATCCCGTGTTCCAGCCGACGCAACGGGGATTAAACAAAGCCGCTGCTGGAAGCTAAAATACCTCCTGACCTGGCTGCGCGCCGCGTGGCACAGTGCCCTGGTGCCCGGCCAGGACCTGGCGAGGCGTGGCTGCTAGTCCCAGCCCCGCTGCTCGCTGCTCGCCTGCTGGGAAACCCCGGGGAAGCCCCAGCTCTGCACCTTGGCTCTGGGCAAGGGCGACGGCTCCAAGCCCCTTTGATGGCTGATGAACAGAGGGGGCGGGGGGATCTCTCTCAGCCATGGGAGCCCCTTTCCACTGCCCTGTCCTAGGCTACCTTGCTCCAGGGCCCAGCCCCAAGCTCCAGCCCAGAGGTAAGAAACCAGGGGTCGCTGCTGCCTTATCTCCATCTCTCTGCACGTGCAGGCAGGCACTGGGTCGCACGTGCCCACCTCTCTGCAACCCAGAAAGGTGACAACAGTGACCCTGGAGCAGCACAGTGAACCCTGGGATTCACTAGGAGCAAGACAGGAGCAAGCCCCTGGGAAAGTCCTGGGGAGCTGCAGAACCAGCCGGGCAGGGGCTCATCTCCAGAGCCCAAATCCACCTGTCCTGCCCCGATGCACCACGCACACATACACAAAGAAGGATGACCGCAGGTGAGCTGCTTCCTCCCCCTGTGCCTGCCCATCACTGTCGCACCCCACGCCAGGGTGCCTGAAAGGCAAGGGCAGATTTGCTGGCATGCTCCGGGTCCCCTGCGCCTCCCTGGCCAGGCAGCGCTGGCGCCAGCCCAATCCTGGAGGCTGCTCAGGGTGGCTTCATGGTTGCTCTGCACTAGCAGAGCTGCACAGGGCCTAACACAACCCTAACCCTAACCGCTGCCCCTTGGCACCGTGACGTGGGCATGTCGGAGAGCACTCGCGGTCCCTCTGCAGCCAGCGTCAGTGCTGGGGGCCCAGGCCAGGCTGGCATGGAGCTGGGTTTGACCACGATGCTGCCAGCCTTGCTTCGGTGCTGCTCCCTGCCCCACCAAAATTAGGAACCTGTGGAGCCTTCTCCTCCCAACAGCAAACAAGTTCCCTTTCCCCCACACCACCGAAATGCCCCCGGGTTGCTCGCAGGGTGGCTGGGCTAGGTCACAGCGTCCCGGATGACCCCAAATGAAGGAACCACAGAAGGAGAAGAGACAGGAGGAGATTGCTCCTCGGCACAGCAGGCCACATGTGTCAGCGGCAGCACCAGAATTTGCCCTCCGTGCCCGGAGAGCTAGAGGAGAGTCTCCCAGAGCTGCTAGCAGTATGGGGCACTTGACACAGAAGCGAACCGCTGCAGCTAGTGAGACCAGTGACACACACACCTGCCTTTCCCAAGGCTTTTATGCTGCCACTCGCACGGCTGACCTGAGATGTGCTAACCCATCGCTGTGCAAATCTGCACGGTGCCCATTAGGCTTGGAAGGTGCCTGGAGTTGTCAGTCACAGCCTTGGCGCCATGGCTGGGGGGTGGGTACCCAGGGGGACGGGGCACGGTACTCACAGATGTAGTAGTACTCATGCCCCGGCCGAAACTCGAAGCCCAGGGAGAAGGGCGTGAAGAGCTGGAACTTCTCGGAGAACTTCAGGGGCCCGTTGGGCGAGTCGGGCCGGTTGCACTCCCAGCGCTTGAAGCCCTTCTGCCGGTGGTCGCAGGAGGCATGGCCCTCGTAGTTGACCATGTACAGGATGTACCGCTCCATCTTGTCCGTCGGGAAGGGGTCCTCATAGTGAGGGCAGTAGATATCCAGGTAGTCGTTGATGCTCACTTCCACCGTGTAGTCCCCGCGATGAAACCTGCAGCCAAGAGAACCGGGAGGCAGGGGTGAGCAGGGCCAGCCTGACGCCTGCCGGTCAGACTCAGTGCCATCAGAGCCCGAGACCCCCCAGCGCCGGAGGAGCCCGGCGGGAGCTCCAGGGGTCTCGGGTACCGTGCAATTCAGATGCTCGAAGCATCTCCATTGTCCACCCCGGAGCAGCAGCCGCTGTGACACCCGCCCCGCTGCAGACCCAGGAGTCCTGGCTGCCCACGCTGGGGGCCGTGGGGTGGTGCAGTGCAGGGCACCACGGGATGCTCCGGGCCACGATGGGGAAGGGTTTCAAAAGCAATGCGTGACTCGGGGTGCCTGCACATGGAAGGACACCCACACGCTGCAACCCAGGCCCTGGGGCAGCAAGCCCTCCCCCACCCCGGTCGTTGCGCCCCTTTAACCAGCAGAGAAAACCCGCCCGCGTTTCCCACTCCCCTCCTTGCTGCAGCGAATCCCCCAGCCCCCCGCAGAATCGGAGCCGCCTGCTTACAAGTAATCACGTGCCAAACTCCTCTGCGGCTTCTCACCCCCACTCTCAATAGGCTTTGCCATTGTTAATTAATTAATTAATCCTAATGACCCCCCCTGGGTCGATTCACCCTGTTTGCAGATGAATAAAACTGAGGCCCGGAAACATCCAACACTGCGACGACAGCAACTGAGGGACAAACTGAAGCCGGGCGTCCTGGCTCTTCGTACCCCAACCCCTGCTCCCCCCCAGCCCCTTTCCCTCCCACAGCGAGGGAGAAAACCCAGGCGTCCCGGCTCACAGCGCCGCAGCTCTAACCACTAGCCCAGCGCTCTCTCTTCACATTAACCTTACAAGATTAAATTTAGTACCTCATTGTTTTAAGATTAATAAACCGGCAACACTTGGTAATAAGTAGCAAAAAATCATTATGCCTTGCGATACCATCAGCCCCTTTTGGTATTAATGCAGATGTGCACTGCAATCCTATTGTAATTTACGTTTTTGGTGCTGATTATCTAAGAGATTAAGGGATTAGCGGAGCTGGAAAATGACTCCAGAGTCTATAGGCAATTCCCATCTTAGACAGCGATGTGCCACGGTCCCTGAAAAACAGCCCGCTCCGTCGGCTGCTCCCCGGGCCCCAAAACCTGCCCCCTGAAATGGAGAATAACTCGCTCATCCGCTCCGGTTGGCCCCCGAGTTTGCCGGGAGCTCCCCGGTCTGGGCTGCCAGCCGTCCTGGGGTGCTCCTCTCTCCCTACCTCAAGTGGGTTTTCTCAGCTAATTAATTTGCAGTTCCTACAGCGGCGCTTTCCCTCGTATAGAAAGTCTCTTGCCGGCGTCAGCAATGCTGGGGCAGGTGTGTGAGATTGATTCCCTTCCAAGATGCTGAGAGAGCACACAACACCTGGAATAACGATGCAGGCTGAGGCGTGTGTGTGTGTACACATATATATGTGCGTGTATGTGAGTGTGCATGCCTGCCCGTGAGCGTCTGGAGGATACTTATCACCATCCCCTTTCCCTCTTGCGTTCTGCTACTGCCACGTCCCGGTGCTTCCCATCGCTCTGTGCAGGGATACGTTGCATCCCGTCCGCGCCCCTGGAAAACAGCACTTGGGGGGGCAATGGGAACACCCCAACGAAGGCAAGAGTCGGACCCGATGGCGGGAAGGCAGCCGCGGCCAAGGACACAGGGTCTCTATAGGGTCCACTCCTGCACCCAATTCCAGAGACGTCAGGACGGCGTCGGGTCCGGGTGCCGACTATGGCATGCACAGCCGGCCCGTCACATGCAAGGGGACAAACGGGCTGCACGGATGGACCAGCCCTCGGTTGCTGCCCAGTGGTGGGCACGGTACACAAGCCTGGCCCTGAGCATCCTTAGGGGCGCCTGTCCTCCTCGGCAGCCCCCCACCCCCAAACTCCTGCCACTC